ATCTAAACAAGGAAGGGGGAAAGAAGGAAAGAAAGGCAGGTGACTTAATCCACTTGGAATATTGAAAATGAAGACCAGATGCACACTTCGGAATCATAAGATACAATTAACAATTGGTAAAGAAGAGATTTATTATTTTGTGACCACATATATCCACAGATATTAATTTTTGTGTCATTTACAATCAGAAACTACATTCTTATATGTTCTACTAATTTTAATAGATTTTGAGCTAGTTTATCCTTAGATATATCACTTTTTTTATATAACAGCAACACAAACAAGGATTGGAAAATGGCTTAATATCATGCAGTTATTTTGTTTCAAGTAATACTTTGCTTGATAAAGATTCCAGAAATTAACAAGGTAATATTTCATTTGACTGACCTGCAAAATACATGAACTGTGTACAATTAAACTTCATATATATTGACATAAAAGTATCCAGGATTATTCTGAGACTGATTTGTCCACTGATTCATGTCTTTATTTAACAAAATTACCATAGACAAAAATAACAGAAATTTGTCTGCATTTAGGGGATGAGTCAAGAATAGTAGAAATAAAAAGAAATAAATAAACAAACAAAAAGAAAAATATTTGAGGAAATGATTTAAAAAATGGGAATGGAAGTTGAATGGCAGGGTGGTTAAGGAATAAGTTTTGTTTCAGACATATTATTGTAAAGCATTGCAGGTAATCCATAATAATAATATCATCTAGTATTTACTGCCACATATATTACAGAATCTATGCTAAGATATTTAAATGAATTATTTAATTTCAAAACTCCTGTATGGAATAGTTACTATCTTCCTTTTCAGATGATGTACCCAAAAAATGGGCAAAAGATCTGAACAGACACTTCATCAAAGAAGATATACAAATGGCAATTAATCATATGGAAAGATGCTTCTCATCATATGTCATCAGGGAACTGAAAACTAAAACAAGATACCACTAATCTGAAACACTGACAACAACGAATGCTGGTGAGGATGTGAAACAATAGCAACCCTGATTCACTGTTGGTGTAAATGCAAAATGGTACAGCCATTTTGGAAGAAAGTTTGGTGGTTCTTATAAAACTAAACATACTGTTGCCATACGATCCAGCAATTGAGCTCTTTGGAATGTACCCAAATGATGTGAAAATTTATGCTCACACAAAAATCTAAATACAAATGTTTATAGCAATTTTATGCATAATTGCCAAAACTGGAAGCAACCAAAATATCCTTCAATAGGTCAATGGATAAACAAACTGGTGCATATCTATACAATGGAATGTTTTTCAGTGATAAAAAGAATGAGCTATCAAGCCATGAAAAAGACATGGAGTAAACTTCAATGTACGTAACTAAGTGAAAGAAGCAAATTTGAAAAAGTTACATACTGCACGATTCCATCTATGTGACATTCTGGAAAAGGCAACTATGGAGACAGTAACAAGATCACCGATTACCAAGGTTTTGGGATGAATAGATGGCACACTGGCAAGTTTTAGGGCAGTGAAAGTATTCTGTATGAAACTATAATTGTTGATACATCTCATTACACATTTATCAAAGTTCAGAATATACATCTCAAAGAGTGAACCAAAATTGTAAACTATGGACTCAGGTTGATAATGACGTGTACTTATTGATTCATTGATTGTAACAAATGCACCATATCACCATATGGGGCATGACATCATGGTGAACCTGGCTGTAAGTTGGGGGGCGGGGGGAGGGAGGGGTATGAGTGGGGGAAAGGGAGTGTATGGGTACTCTCTGCTTCTTGCTCAATTTTACTGTGACCCTAAAACAGCTTTGAAAAATAAAGACTAGTGATAAAAACTGTAAATTAAAAATTAAAGAAAAAAAAGAAAAGGCCAGTCCCTCTGAGAGGTCAAGTAATGTGCTGAAGTCCTCATAGCTTATAAGTGATAGAACCAGGTTGCTTCTGGTTCTGGAGTTAACTCTTCCACATCTCAAGAGCCTTTATCTAGCCTTATGAGGTACATTTC